ACTCGCCGCTTGCTGCTATCGATCGCGCCGCGCGGGCTGGACACACAAACACACACACACACTCACACACACACACACACACACACACACGACCGATTACATTACCTCCCCTGCAACTCCGTTGCGCGGAGGTAATAATATACAGAACGTATTCATGTATTGTTGCATATTACCGGTATACCATTAAATAGATATATAATCATTCTTGTGTTATTCTTCGATAGACGTGTTAATTTTAATTAGTACACGAGATTTCTGTAAACGACATTCCTTCGACTGAATGAATTTTACGGAACTTATAGAATGAATATGAATTTCATTCTACGGTAAGTAAGTGAATGAAACTATAAGGATCAGGTTACACTTTTTTGATAGCATGATTTAATACACTATATAATCAATATATACTCAGCACATAATGAAATGACCTAGAGCCGATGTTGAGTATACAAAAAATAAAATGGCAGTACAAAAAATAGAGTGACAGTACAAAAAATAGAGTAGCAGTACAAAAAAGTATCGCAAATCGCGACCTCGCTAGGCGGCACTGCCCTGGCTTCCGCGCTTCATTTTACTTACAATGTATTTAACCCGACAGGGTAATGAACAGATAGCGATTACATATAGTGACCACGTGGCAGCTAGAACACTACGTGGGAAGCTGTTTATTATATATTCTTTTCCAAAGATAGGAACATCGTTTTAATATAAATTAATTTCCTATGCTATGAACTTAGCATACCGGTACTCTAACTAACGTGACCTTGTTTAGAGCCCCTGTATATCAGATGGTGACGCCATCTAGTGTAGCAATGTGTCATACGTACGATCTGATAAATTTGGTTACCACTGTCGGTCTCGCTTCAAATGTCTGCTAAAAATATAATTTTGTTGAATTTATATATTTAAAACGGTGTGTAATACTCTGCGTTGCAATGGTTATGATTACGGAAATTCCATCTTATGTAATTTGCATATTATGGCTACTAAACTTTGGATACGACAAACCACCCATACGCAAATTGTAAATGTCTGAAATGTTGAAAAGCAAAATCTTGTGCAATTCTTGAAAAATGGCGGGATAGTGACAATAGAGGGGGTGAAAGGAAGAGAGGGAGCGAGCGGAAAAAGGGAGGGAGAGGCCGAGAGGGTCAAGGAAAATGTGAAGCGATATAGAGAATGTGCGAACGAGTGGGAGGTAGTGAGAGAGAGAGAGAGAGAGAGAGATAGAGAGAGAGAGACAGAGAGAGAGAGAGAGAGAGAGAGAGAGAGAGAGAGAGAGAGAGAGAGAGAGCGAGAGAGAGAGAGCAGAGAGAGCAGAAGAGAGAGAGAAAGCGCGCGCAGGCAATGTACACTACAGAATGAACAATACGAAAGAGAGAAAGTGAGAGAGCGAGAGAAATAGAAAGAGACAAAAACAGAGGGAGAGAAACAGAACAGAGGCATACTGCCTCACCATTTACGCTCTTCATATACTATATGATGCAATCTGATACGTGATATGATGCATTAGGGATAGGACTGGGGCATCTGGCGAAAGCTGCATACACATAATTCAATAAAATATGAATGGCAAATACAAAAAATAGAGTGCAGTAACAAAAAAATAAAGTAGGCAGTACTAAAAAAAAGTATCGCAAATACCGACCAGTTGCTAGGCGCACTGCCGCTGCATGCTTCCGCGCTTCATTTACTACAATGTATTTAACCAGACAGGGTAAGAGGACAGATAGCGATACATATAGTGATCCACTGGCAGCATAAACACTAACGTGGGAAACTTTTTTAAATGTTAGAACTACATATTGAGCCGAAGAATGACCGTTATGCGGTAAGATAGTTCCCGTGTGGTTATTGCGTGCGTGCGTGATTGCTAGTGCTGCCCGTGTAGCCTGTACGGGTATGTTGGACGCTCTGCCCGAAACTGGACGCTCCTAAAGTGCGCATCGCGCGCAGGCGCCCTGTTGTTTTTGTCAAGGGCGCAACACGAGCGCATGCGCTAATGATGCCAGCTAACTAGCAGCGCGCTGAAAAGGTGCGATAGGGATATGTTTATCTAGGCTCACTTCTAATTTAACATATAATCTTACCGATATATTAACAGAAGATGCAAAAACCTAAAAGTGCACCTAACCTATACCCCTAACTCCTTGACGCTCTAAATGTGAAATTTATAACTATAGTTAGATAATAGAAGTGCCATAGTAAACATATCCTATCCAACCTTCAGCCGGCTGCCGGTCTACTACGAGCGTCCAATGAGCGCCGGTACCCACTGATCATCTATTAAGCTCAAGGGGTCGCGTGTCGTAACGAGTAGCTGACAATAGTACTCCGAGGTAACATATATGTATACAGCAAAGTGTACGGCAGACTTGCTACATACAGGAAGTGTACCTAACCCTGAACACTACCCTAACCGCTAACCCTAACTCTAAACCCTAACCGCTAACCTAAACATGAACAATAAAAATATAACAATAATTACTAAAGCAACCTAAAACTACCGTCGGTACAGACATCGCTAAGTAGTCCTGTTTACGACAAACGACGGCCTTCTGTGCGCTCTCCATATATATATTAACTAAGCATGCGGTAGCCCGCTCGCTGGGTAAAATCGTGCTAATCTAATTCATGACACTAATAATCGACACAATAGGAACATGGTAAAAACGACAATAACGGTTGCAGACAGGAATATAATATTACAATTAGCAATGGGAATAAACGCTTGTTACGTAATTGAGCAGCACAAACCCAAACTTAGAACCCCTGAGAGCATAATAGTAATAGGTGTAAATGAAGAAACAGTTATATAAGCAGCATGCACGAAGGGTTGCAGTTTTATTTGACAACGCTCTTGATAAACAATGTTTTTTTGTGTTATTCTCCTTGGTGAAATAATGTAAAGATTCCTGGTGTGTGGAACTCGTTGAAGCCCTGGCCCCCGTACGGCATGTAAAAGTAATGGCACGTAACAACGCATCGTAAACAGCAATGTACGAATGATGCACTTACCATTTGAAAGCCTCTTGAATAAACCAATGCAGCGTAACCTTCTGAGCTGGTGCCTGGCTGTGCCTCTTTTTAGTAACTGGTTCGTTTTCACAATAGCAACAGCTGAAAGCGATGGCCAAGAAATATCATCGATTTTTCGTGTGGCAGCACTGTACAGTGTAAACGAATCTGACTGGTTGGTTTACGGATTTTCGGTGAGTTGACCGGGTCTTGGACAGGCTTTTTTCCGTCTAGGGACCTCTCCCCAGTAAAGAGATGGCCCTGTGAAAATTCCATCCAAGATCGCATTGGCGGTTGGCCGCCCTAATAGGCGAAGATACATACATACATACATTACATAGATATCTAGATAGCAGTACGAATGATCTCAAAGATATATTAGACTAGCTCGGGTACCCCGCTCGCTGGTAAGAATTCGTGCTACCTAATTCATAACTACTAATAATGGACACAACAATAGGAACATTAGGTAAAAATCGTACAATGAACAATTGCACACAATATGAATATTGTAGAATCAGTCTAATAAGATAATAAGAATGGGAAAAACTGTTAGCGTAGAACACTTTAATGACAGCACAACCCAACTGTAGAACGCCCTGGACATAATAGTAATATGGGTAAATGACAAAAAATTAATTACAACAGCATGTAAATGGTGGCAGACTTTCATTTGAAAACAGCTTTGATAACACATGTTCGTGTGTATTGCTCTGGTGGAAATATGTTAAAGATCCGGCGTCTCGGAACGTTGGCTCGTCCCATGTACGGCATCACGTATGGCAATCGTACGGCACGTAACAGCATGTACAAGGTTGCGCCTCTGCTCACATTTCAAAGCCTGTTGTGGAATAAACCAATGTCAGTCGTAACCTCGAACGCCTGTGCCTCCGTGTTTAGCTACTGGTTGCTGCGTTTTCGGTTACACAATACACAGGCAGCGATGGAATGAGTGAATGCAAGTTTTCTGGTGTGTGCAGCACTGTACAGTCAGTGCTTGACATTGTGTGAAGGATTCACGAATGAGGGTTTTTCAGCGGGATTGTTCGTGAGTTTTGACGTTGGCAAGTTTTTTTTTCAGCTAAGAACACTCCCCAGGTAAATAAAGAGGCCCTGTGGAATAAATTGCATCCCAGATCGCTTTGGGCGGTTTGCCGCCTATAGGAAGATACTATACATACATACAACATACATACATACGCAAACAAATATATATTAGTATATATAATAATACTAGCTGGCGGGTACCTCGCTGCGCTGGGTAAAACGTGCGACTAATTCAGT